TCTGCAATATAATTTCATCAAAGATAATCTGTTGTCTTTCTCTGATTAGTGGGACTTTTAAGATTTATTTCTATCTTACTAAAACAATTAGCCACAATATTGATTTATGACTATTTATTCTTAAAATGTTGGTACAACCCTGCTAGTTTCTGGAAGAAAACAGTTGGCAGGAAATTAAGAAAAGTGTCCCTGAGGTACTTCCTATAACTTTGAGTAGTTCACAGTTGAAGGAAGCATACAGAAATTTTACTAAGTGCATAAAATGTACATGTGCATGCTTAAAATTAAATGTAAGTGCTAAATCAAATTTGGTTACTAAATAAGTTTTCGTTACTTCTTAGAACAAATGTTTATTGTGACCCTGGACAGACTCTACATAATGAAGAAAACTAAGGAAACCTATGTTCTCATAAATTTTACTACATTATGTTTAAGTGAAAATCAAATTGGGCCGGGGATTTAGCTCAGTGTTTTCGCCGCCTGCTGCACATGCGCAAGGAACAGAGTTTGATGCCCGGTACCAAAAAAAAAAAAAAAAAAAAGAAATTAATCATAGTAAGAAAGTAAATTATGCCAGGTGTTATAGTGCATCCCTGTAATCCCAGCACTCAGGAGGCTGAGGCAGGAGGATCACCCCAAGTTTGAGGCCAGCCCGGACTACACAATGAGTTCAAGGCCAGCTGGGCTAAGAGCAAGACCCTGTCTCAAAATAAAATAAAATAGAATAAAATTAAATTAAATTAAATTTAAATAAAATGAAAGTAATTTATTAAAATGTTAAAAATAGGGAAGTGTTAGGAAGAAAACAAATGCATTACAAGGGCAGATTAGGAAAACACTGTAACAAAGACATTGATTTTCAAAAATAACATTTGATTAATTTTAATCAAGGTAAAATGCATGTCAGAGAAAGGGAGTGGTCAGTGTAAGCACATGACTGTAGGAAAGATAAAAATGTTGATGACAGAATGGAGTAAATTAGTGCAAAAAGAATAGATGAAAGGATCATGTAGAGGCTTTTCAGGCCTTCATTAGAGTTTTGTTTTCCTCTCTGAGTCAAACAAGGAATGAGAAAAGTGTTCAGGAGAAGGGAAGGACCACAGAGGAAATTCACTGTGGAAGATTCATTTGATGTCAGTCCTCATAGTGGATGTGAGTAGAACTAGATGGAGAGAGGCCCTAATTAGGAAACTCGTGTTTCTTTTAATGGAGGAAGGAGTTATTGCCTTGGACTAGGGAATACAAATGGGGGAAATATTGGTAAATGAAAGAACGCAACTCTTTGAATGTGTTGGGAGAAAAAATAAAATCTGGGATGACTCTCAGTTCCTTGGAGTGAACATTTGGCTGGAGGAAGAACACTGTAGATAAGAGCGAAGCAGAGTAGAAGTGCAGCAGGCTTGGTGCTGGCGTGATGGGAAAAGGGAAGATTCTGCTCCGGCCATGCTAAAATGTTCCTACTGATCACTGGGATTTCAGACTCATACACATTCGGTGATTTCAAGCATAAAAATGATTTTTAATAATCTTCAGAGTTACAAGAAAAAAAAATCACGAAGAATTTTAACTTGAACTTTACTTTTCTCTAGTTGGAAGAAAGTATTAATCCTTACTGGGAATTGAGAATGAAACCTCTCAATAAGGAGAGTTTAGTGAAGTCTGAGAAACAGAGGAATATGACAATATTTTTCCTTCCGCAAGATCACTGACTTTTCCCTTTTAAAAGGAGACTAGATGGGTTTGTAGACAAATATACATTTGACAGATGAAAAGACTTTCCAAGAGTGTTGCATTGACAGTTGCCCAAATGAAAAATACAAGGAGGGCACCTTTAGCGACTCAGTCAATTTATTTATAATGCACATTCTGATGGTATGAACACACTGGAGCATTTAATATAATCTTTGAAGATAATCTCCCTAAAATATGTGACAAAAATGGTTCTTAATGATGGTAGTTAATTAAATTTGAAAGAATAGCAGAATATTTAAGTGGATTTATTTGAAATATTCTATAATAAAAGGAAAATGATATTTAAGAAAGACTGCAGAATTAAATAAAGAAGCCTTCAATCCCATCTTTAACAAATGTAAATGATGATGAGACAACTTGGAAATGACTAGAAATAATTTTTAGTATTGTATTGTGACTACCATATAACAGGTACAAAGGGATTGGTAGTAACAAAGATGTGTAGAGTCCTTTATTTAAAGGAGACCACAAAACGTCTATTAGTTTTATTGCTCAAGTTCCATCTGGCATACTGTTTTGTTATTTTTGAACATATATGTAACATTTGTTATACATAATTGCCTAAAGGCAAGGCTGATAATTCGGTCACTCTTTTGTGTCCCTGGTTATATAAAAAAAATTGGAAAATTCATGGATTTATCTCATTCAGCTTTCAAACAAACTTACAGAGGAATGGATCAGGACTCATAAATGACTTCTGAATGACTACAAAGATTACTCTATTCTTCCACCCCTATTTGAATAAAAGGACTTGCAAAGCAGAAGAAAATATGGGAAATTGCATATTTTCTTGGTAAACATCTGTGTTTAGCTGAAACTTCTTAAAGAATTTCTAAGTATATGACTGAGTTTATATGTATTTTAAACCATGCAACATGTTGATCATGGCCTTGGCTGTTTTATGCAATCAGTCTATCCTAGCGTTAATGTGCACACGTATGTGTGCAAAAGGCACATATAAATTATACTCGGAAAGAAAGACATGCTGATAATTGAAATAAGATAAGAAAATATTCTTAATCCTAAATGGTAAGCCGTTTTATTTTAAAGACCTTATGTATCTAGCTAATCACAGTTTATGTGTATGAGTCGAATGATAAATTTCTGCAATTCTTACCGCTATGTAACTTCTTCATATGTCTAGAGAGATGTCTCATCTTAGGAACATGGATTTATGATTGTATAAATATTCTGATATTTTGTTGAAACTAGAGCCAATGAGAATTTAGTCACCATTTGTAGTGATCATATGATATATAAACCGTTTTTGCATTTATATGAGTATTTCATAACGATATAAGAGGACAGGATGCTTTTGAAATTTTCTGTCAATAATAGTAAAGGCTAGTCATTTTAAATTCAGAATTTAAAAAAATTCTCATACCATATTTTCATTTAAATTAATAGAAAAATTACACGCTTATATAAAAGAAGTATATATGATTTATTACAACTCTAAGGCTTAGAACATTCTTTGATTTTTATTATAGATGCTCAATAAAAACTTGATGAACGAAGACATAAATGAATGAATAAATGAAAATCCCACATTGGTGCGGCGAAATCAATAATATGAAACGGAGAGACATTTGTTCCAATCTCCACATAAAACAAATTTTGGACATAGAATACTTTATATATTGGCCATTCCTTAGGATAAACACAATTCTGCGAGTGTGGTTACTAAGAGAATTTGAACAGGTTATTTATGATAGGCATACATTTTGAATTTCAGAGCTACCATGAAATCAGATCTTTAACACACCACCTTCAATATCAAGAAATAATAAAATGTATATTACTGAGTAATTTCTGTACAATATAGGCTTTATATTGAAATGAGTCCTGCTTATCAATCTCCTCAAAGGGAATTTTTGGAAACCTTTTGGGATTATGCTAGAGATCACTGGCATGATCCCTGACTATTAACAGCAATGCATAACAAAATAAATGAGAGGGCAACTTAATGTCGCTTTAAAATCTGAACAATGACAATTAAGAGCCTTTATGTAAGAATTTTAATTAACATCTAATATTCATTAAAATAAGTAATGCTAGAAAATTTAAAACTGATTATATTTTGAATCATAATATGAAATGTTCATAAGATAGATATTCTTTTATCTTTTCTATTGTTAATGTGCTTTATTTACGTGCATACTCTTTCTATGTTATTTAGGATTTTTCTTTTGTTCAACCATATGAGCAACCTTTTTTATGCTTGTTAAACTTTGTCTTTTTTGACAGCAATACAGTAGTGGATCTTGGACTAAAGAAAGACCAAAATTATGTAATGTGATGTGTCCTTATTCTTACAATTTGACCATAATTTTAATTAGGCCATAGGGAGTTCTCTCTTTCATAATTAAACTACTGTGAAAAAAAAAAAAAAAAAAGATATCTGTGTTCAGAGTGAAATGGACCCTTTCAGAGCTGATGTTAGAAAAACAATTATTGTCCACGAAGACTGAAATAATTCTTCATTAAGGGTATGTCAACATTGCACACTGCCTTACTCCAAAAGCGTAGGATTTTAACTAATTAGTGAACAAATCTTTGGTATTGTTTACCATATACTCAGCAGAGGAGTATGACTTCTTCCTCCAGGTCTAATAAAGTATTTCGTTTATAAATAAGTCATGCGAAACTTAACTTGAGAAACCAGTTCTTGGCTGATAATCGCCATCATTCTCAGGAACTTTGGATAACTGACTGATAGGACATTTATTATTTAAATTTTTTCTTTCAGTTTTTATTGAGTCTTTCAGTGACTGAAGAAAAAGACTTTGTTACACATAAATGTGTAATGCGTTTTCCGAAAGTTGACATAATTGCCATGCAGTATCTAATGGAATATTCAGCATTATTACTGTCATTACTAGAAATTTTCAAAGTCACCATGGGAGGTAAATATTTTCCATTAAAAGATTATTTCAGTCTGAGATGTCTGAATTATTATTGCCTGTAAGACTCAATAGCACAAATGCCATACAAATATTCTTTTCTATATTATGTTAGTGAATATGAACAAAACAAAATTGCTACATTGCTGGTATTTTTCACACAAAAATGGAAATGCTTTAAATTTTTTGAATGATACATTTTAAATGCTTTAAGAATAAGACTTGTATTATGAAGTTTTTTTATATATCATGCATAACAAAACTCAGTGAAAATTATTCTTACCTAAGTTATGTTAATTTGGTTAAAAGACTTCAACATTAATTACAATGAGTTTCTCTTCTTACCTGTATTTAATACAATGTTGAACCAAGATATTTAGTTCATGGAGAAAATTTTTCTTCCTAGGGGGAAAAAAAAAAGCTGGAGACAACGTAGTTGTAAAAACTGGTTTATTTTTTTAAAAATAAATACAAAAATATAAATATAAAACATTAGCAGATAGAATTTGATGAAATGAAATTGCACAAACGTTTGTATACCAGATTACATATCACACCTACTGACACCACGTGTACATACTTGTAAAATTTAATGTACAGACCAGGATATACCTTAAATATTTTCTTCACCTTTTCAAAAGGGTCATTTGCAAGGGCAGGACATGTATCTAAAAGAAGCAGTTTGTCTGTGAGGTTGCTTAAGGGAGAACTATCCTGCTCTTGTTTTTTAAATTATCTTTTATTTGCTAAGATGGACACCACTGAATTTCCATAGCTTTGGCTCTTGGAAGTGATTAAATAAAATGTCGTTTATATTCCATGAGACATCCTACAGGGAAGAATTAATTTAATTAATCAACAAATTAAGAAGTAAATGGGAGAAAAATGTGCTGAGTAGCGGGAAATTTCTTCTGAATATCAAATGCTGTGAAATGAAGACTGTCCGTAGAGTTACTTTCTCGTGTTAAACAGAGCATATATCCCAGGTTAAGAGTCTTTGTCGCTTTCCCCACCACCATACATTTCTGCTAGCTTGTTAAACCGAGGGCCCCATTCCCGGAGGTAATCATAGTTTTGGTCTCCTTCGGTAGTACCTGATTCTAAGGAGCTCAGGGACTCGGCAATAGAATCATTTCCTTCGTAGGCGTAGGTTGCAAGTGAGTCGTAGGGGGGCGCTGTGGGGTCCAGGTCGTGCTCCTTGAGCCTCTCATTAATGAAATCCCGGACGTCCGTGTTATCCGGCGCGGTAGGAGTCCTCCGAGGTATAAATAGCGTTTCAGGAATGATGTCTCGGCGGAGCTTTTTTTCCTCAATAGCTGCAGGATTCCTCAGAGTGCCGATATCAAAGGCCTGAGTGTCCTCCTCTCCGCCACCTTCATCATTATAACTCACAATGTTGTCTCTAATGTCTTCTTTAGACAAGATCAGAGGCTCTTTCTTCCGCTGTCTTTTCAGAGCTGCAAACAGTACTACTATAACTTGAAAAGAGACAAGAAGATACATTAACAATCTATTTAAACCGCAACGCGTGGGAACAGTATAAAGGAGTGTGAGATATTTAAAGTTTTCACGACAAATTAATACTGAAGATTTCTTACACAGTTTCAAAATTTGGTAGTGGGGTGGGGGAGAAGGTTTTAGCCAGGTTGGCAGTGTCTAAGAGCAAAGTTCCTGATTTTCAAAGTAACGTGAAGTAGTCCTCAAATACAGTGACATGTTTTATCTATTTTTCTGAGCACTCTTCAAAGTCAGTTTCTGATTGTACAGAAAACTGATCTTTGGGAACAGTGACACAAAATATTATATATAGGCAAATTGAACTCAGCTTCAAATAAGACAAGAAAGGCTTGAAATGCCCACATTTTTTACATCCTGAAACAATATGAGAAATCAATATTTTTCACTGGATATGAAGGAATGGTAATAACTTTGTGATAGATTTACATAGTTTTTACTTTATTAAAGGAAGACGTTTATTGTTAGAAAAATAACCAAGTCATTTACAAATTAGATGGATTTTTAGATTTATAATGTTTTCCTTGAAAAAAAAAACATATCATGTAACAGAATTTCCCCTAAATTGTTAGCCCATAAAACACCAAAGATCACATTCATCTAGCTGGACTGAATTAACTCCAAAGCCATTATGAAACTGAGCTGGACACCTCTTAAGCAAATAGAGATCCACAAGTAAAAATCATAGTGCTAAGAAAAGACATTTCGCCATTTTCATGAAAAAATAAGTATAAAAATTTATAATAATGTTAATACTCATGAAAGTGGGAATAACATAAACAATAGGGAGAAGTTAATATTAAATTCACCTGATTGTTTTAGTTTCACATACCCATTCACCATATCCAAACATTTTTGTCCTAATCCTTCAAAATGATTTGGAAAAACAAATGAATTGAATTAGACGGGCAAAGAAAGTGGAAGAACAAATCTTACCTTAAATATCTATATTTAGCCTCTTCTAAGGAAAATATTGAAAGGGTATGGGAATCATAATATCAAGTTACAATACTGAGCTTTTTAAAAATAATATAAAATGCTCAGACCGCTGTTTTCAATTTTTGTTTGGCAACAAAAACAAAGGTTGTTTCTACTGCTAAAATAATGAAAGTTTGAATTCATTGCAGGTGTTTTTTGCCTCAGAATGATTTAAAAAAATAAGTTAAAAAAAGTCTATCGTTCCAGTTTTTGAGAAAATGTCATTTTCTTTTGCCTAAATTCATATATTAATGTACAGCCAAACATGTATGATATAAAGATATCAAAACTAACTTCAGTTTATTATCAACCTAAGAATTCTAGGGGAAATCAATGTCTAGAAATGAAAATAGTAAAAACTTACTAAGACTGACTTCAAGTCCAAGTTTCCCTGCTTCTGGGAATGTCTGAATAGGTTTTTGGTTAGGGTCACAGGGATACCGACAAAAACAGTTTTAAACTAATACAACCAGAAAACAAATTTAAACGGATTTTTGATTCAAGAGCAGTTAAAAAGCAGTTGCTTGAGGTTATCAAATCGAGTATAATTATTGGAGTACAAACAAATCAGGTCAAGAGCTAGTTTAATATCATTTCAGTGAAGACATAAGACAGCGAGGCCTCCAGCTAACCTAATGTTAAAAAAAAAGATGAACATAATCTTTAGATATCATTGGAAAACTGCAAACATGAGGACTCATAGAAAAGTGTTTTGGCTCAAACACTCAGAAGTGTGTGGCCTTTAAAATGTTTTTAATATTTCTAACTTGCAATTTCATTATGTGTAAACTGAGGTTAATCACCTTACATACCACATCCATTTTTTTGTAAAATGAAAAAAAAGTTTTTTCAGTCAAGTTATAATTACAGTGTTTGACACACAATAGACATTTAATAAAAGTCTGCTACTAGTGATGTAATTTTACTGGGAATTTTAATTTTTTATATGTATATCAATAAAATGACTACCTATTTAATATAAAAATTAAGATAAAATGTATTTTACATAGATTGAAATTTAAACATTAAAACATATATATTAAAGATGCATTATTCATATTTGCATTCATCCACTCAATTACTATAAAGCAGGTTTATGAGCTTCCTTTAATTTTTTTATTATCGGCAAGCCGAATTATAAAAATAAACTTTTATCCATTTTTGCATATCCTATGAAACGTAATCATGTTTATTATTCTTGGCTATGCATGGAAAAGTTTTTTTCTATCTCATTTTCCATAGCAATAAAATATGAAATATATCTTTCTAAATGTGCATTCTCACTTCCTGAACTCCACGAATATCTGAAGTAGCCACGAATGATGGTGCTTGCCTGTCTTCCCAGCAACTTGGGAGGCTCAAGGGACGGATCACAAGCTCAAATACAGAAAAGCTGTATTTCAAATAAATAAATTAATAAATACAACTTTCAAAAGGGCTGGAGATGCAACTCAGAGGTACAGCACCCCAAGGTCGGAGCCCCACTACTGCAAAAACAAGAGTCATGCATAAAATAAAATTGATCCTTTCATCCAAATCTTGTATGAATAATCTACCTTCTACTTAAGTGCAAAACTAGAGTGTGTGCATGATGTGATCAATCTAGAAAAATAGAATCCTTTATTTAGTTGCTTTAACCAAACTAAATATATGATGATGAAGTATTTTTAATACATCATTATTATTGCAGGTCCCAACTTCATATAATAACTTACTCTTCAATCATAAAATATAATAAATAAAATATAAAAATCATAAAATATCTCTAAAATTTATTTTTTCAAGTATTCTTTTAAAGTTTGAAATGGAGGCTAAATTATTTCATATAACTTAATTTTGTAAGTAAGAAAATTTGACAATAGTTGAGCACAGAGATGCTAGTAGGAAACATTTCTATTCTGGCAAGTTTTTGAATAGTCTTCCTCACAGTAACTGTCATTTTAAACCTTATCATTGTTTGTTTAATCTTACTGAGGTCTGCTAATGTCTAAGTTTCCGAGTTGGAGCTGAAACCCTTTCACACTCCTCCAACTCGTCCAGCTCCTAGTGTACCCTTGAATAAGAGTTTGGCACATCCTCCAGAGAGAAACGATGGCATACAGTATGCTTTTATACCCTAAGGAGGTCAATAATTGGGTAAGGAGGTATATAATAATTGGGTAACTGGCCATCGATGTGCCTCTCTTCATTTTTTCACTGGACATAGGCTTCAGAGAATACTTAAGACCATCATTCATCAAAAGTAGCAGAAATTGCAGTTCTGTACCTCTCATCTTTCCTAAAGCCACTTGGTGCTCACTTTTCTTGGTTTCTCTTTACTTAATGTATTGTAGGGAAAGATACATTGGGGTTTTTTGCAGGGGAGGTATTTTAATTCACACTTGAGTTCGAATTCACATCCAATAAATAAAATCCTATTACTATTATAAAAATCTCCTTACATTTCCTTGTATATTCTGATCAGGTAAAATATCTTAATATAAGCAATATTCCATATTTAACTTATATTTACAAGTTCAGGTGTTAATTGTGATCCTTTTAACAGCTATCTTTCCTACTTAGAACCTCGTGCGTCTTAAGGTCCTTACCCAGCAGAATAATGATGCAGAGGAGAATGGCGACCAGCGCCCCGGTGCTGAGGCCTGCGGGGAGCAGCAGCGCCTCGGCGCTGCACGACTGCATGTTGCCCTGGGTGTCACAGGCGCACACGCGGATGGTCAGCGTGCCCGTGCTGCTCTGGATTGGGTAGTCGTTGTCTGAGATCACCACAGGCAGGAGATAGGTACTTATTTCATGGCGGTTGAACCCATTCTTTCTGGTCAAAATTCTGGCAGTGTTGTCTAAAATGAATTTTAAAATATTACAGACAATCTGAAGAGTAAATGTCTCCTGCTTCTAGCCATAATATAAAAATAAAACTTTTTCATAGAAAATATAAAACTGCTGTAAATCTTACTACTCAGTGTGTACAATGAAATTAAGTAAGCTAAATTAGAGAACTCAAAGTCTAATATTATAGATTGTTTACTTACTGCATTTTCAAATAAGTACCCAATCATGTTTACAAAATGATGAATTTGTAGGGATGAATCACTTACCAAGTTTACATAAATGATAAGGGTTTTTTTGTTGAATATCATATCATTTTTCATGTACATATATTTGAGTGTGTCCAATATGCATGAAGAAAATATGATTGAGTACATTTTATGCATTGCTTCACTGCTCCGTTATATAAACACCAGTAAGAAAAATTAACCTTTCAGAATATTGATTTCTGTTGACTAAAACAGATGTGAAACTTAAAGTATGTATATACCTGAAAGTCTGTGTGGAGGACAGGAAGACCTGGTATAATTTTTGTACAGTGCATAATAAGCTTCCAGAAAGATAAAAGCATCTAATAAAAGAAAACATTCAACTACCTAGTAAAATTTGACTGATTTTTTTTCCTTGACTTGATAACTGGTCCAGTATTTTGGGGTTAAAAAATTCTTCTACAGGGGTGGAGATTTAGTTCAGTGGTTCTGCCACCTGCCTTTCAAGCACAAGGACCCAAGTTCGATCCCCGCTATACACACACACACACACACACACACACACATACACACACACACACAAACACACAAAATCAAACTTCTACCCCTACATAACAAATACTTTTAAAGTCACTGATTATAATAACTTCCATCCTGTTTGTTTATACAAATAATTTAATCTTGCTTAGTAGGCACCACAGGGCTATTTAAAATGACAATACAGGGAAAAGAGTCAGTCATTTGCTAAATTAAATAAACGGGACAGAAAAACAAAGTGACAATGTCTTGGAGGGATAGTGGTTGAATGAAAAATAATCATCTCCTAAATTATTAGTGAGAAGTTAACCGCATCAGTTGACTACATAAGCTAGGGAAGGAGTCAGCAAAATCAGGTACACTTTAGCAAATTTTAAAGCATTGCTTATTAAGATGCATTTTGGTGCATGTTTTTGTCACTCTGAATCCTATAATAAAATTAATATTAGCATGTCTGTGGATAGTCTTTAAATTTTCTTGCCTAATTGTTTAAACTTTTCATAAACATACAGATCTTAATTTATAAACATTTTATACATTGAGGAAAAAATGAATTTTTACTTTAAACTAATCACTATATTCAAATTATTTTATTAAATATTTAGAAAGTCATAATACAGGGTTTGACCTAATACAGAAACAATAAACTAATGTTTTTAAAAAAGGTATTATGTCTTATTATTACACGTATTTGAGATGATAAATACAACAACAGTAATATTATGGAGATGTCTGTGTCAATGTAATACCTTTAAGACTTCATCTAAAAACAGAAAGTATTAAATTTACACAGGATTAGATTAAATATTCCATCAGACTTTAATGATAATCTATGTAGTAAGATAGGAACATCTATATTTACATGTGCTTCTTTCCTGCACTGAGTAACTTGTATAGAATCAAGAACTTTTTCGAGTAAAATGAAATGATAATATTTGTCAAAAATTAATTAAAGTTAGTCTTCAGTGGTTTCTTTGGTAACTTTGAAATGCTGTGCTAAGACAATACTGTTTCAAGTTTATGTTACTTTTTCATATCCAGTGCTCAACTTCACAGGAACAGAAAGCAAATTAAAATTACAACAAGAAGCAGGTACTGTATTATCAATTCAGTACTGCCAGTTCAATATTGTAAATTCAGGACTAAGGACAGAGCCAATCTAAATTCAGAAGTTTGTTTGCCAAGCCCAGCAAATTAAAATCTAGTTGATCAAAGTCAGGATCAACTTCACACTCTATAATTTGACCTTGCCAATTTTTTCCCAGTCTCATTAATCTTAGGTTCATAGAGTGACAGAATACATGAATAGTTAAGATATTTGGAATTAGTAAAAACGGATTTCAGTGGGTACTATATTTTCAACTGATTTGTACAAAGGCTATACTAGATGCTATATCTCTAATAGTTGCAACAATGTGAAACGATTCACTGTCTTAAACTATTTTCCAGGAAATAAACAATTACTACGAGGGCTGGGGATTTTAGCTCAGTGGTTTCGCCGCTAGCTGCGCAAGCGCAAGGACCCGAGTTCGATCCCCGGCACCAAAAAACCCCACAAAAAACCAATCATTACGAAGTCATACAGAGCTTGGCTTTACTAACATATATCACACATTGTGAAGAAAGAATTGTAGATAAGGCCATGTAGTTATTAAGTCTGTTTAAAAATATGCAAGTATGCTAAAACAACATACCTTTTAACAAACACTCTGAGGCAATTATTAGCATAAAATGTTAATAAGTAGAAAACATAACTAATGATGTACTTTTGTTTAAACAAAATAATTCCAATGATATGTATTTATCAAGGAAAAATGTTGTTAAAATTTTTAAAAGTCTTAAGTATTTGCATATCTTTCTTTTTAAAACATGTTTCTAACATTTAGAGCATACAAGAAATACAATTTCTGCATCATAAAATGTGTATATTTCAGCAGCAAAGCATGTCATTGCAACAATGCCTTTGCCCTGAATATTCCCACAACCCACTGTGGGTCCTTCTCATTTTTCTTACCCTTATTCTATGCCAACATGGTTCAAATGACTCTGGTGTTGTTAAACATCATTGAAGATTGCATAGCAGTCTGAGTCTTTCATTTCTCTATTCATATGTTTTATCTTTTTGTTACAGAAATTGATTACTCTTTCTAATAATTTCAACATTCAGTCTTTACCATACATGCAGACTTCTGTAACTTATTTACTTATTTTGAATTAAAGATAGTACACATGGTCAAACAAGACATCATTGTGATATATCATTAGGTATCCAAGGAATACAAAATTTCATAACTCACCAATAAATTTGTATTACATATATTTTAATGCTTACTAAAGGGGAAGTTTTCCAAGAATGTCATTTTAAATAATAATGCAAAAATTCTACAATTTACCTTCATTATCCTGTACAGTGAAGTTTGGATTGACAGCAGCTAAACTGAAGAAAAATTTTTGTCCACCTAAGGGGTCATCTTTGTCTACAGCACTTATAGTCTGTATTAGCTGCAGAAAAGAGAAGGTTATGTAATGATCAAACTTCCTCAAGCACAGTATACTTTGCAATATCCAGTTTTAACATCTTAATCTTATATAATTTTCAGGGCACAATTTTATTCCTTGTGCATGAATCTTTGAGTTAATTTATCTTTTATGATTACTTTATTTTAATGATCTCACTGTCTCCCCTTAACTCTTATCTCTATATCTGTCCTGAATTTTGCCTTTACCCTTAAAATGGGAAGTGGTAATGCATTCTATTCTTTGGAGTTTTATAAATTCAGATATATCATATGATGTAAGTAGGTTATTTCATGTAAATTTCATCACTGATCTAGAGTACATTTAATGTTGAAAAACTAAGGAAATTATTTTGAGTTTGCCTTTGTTGCTCCCCACAAACAAAGAGAAAAATCTTAAGGGAACAGGGTTATTTATGTGAAATACTTTACATTACTTTTAAAAAGAAAGTCTTGAACATTATGAACTGCTACAGTAAGATTTTAATCCATTGCACTTTCAATCAAATTGTAGTTTTTAAATTGAATAGGTACATGGCATACAGGAGCAATAATTTTATAAGGATCAACTCTGAAAGATTTATAAGGTACTAGATAATATAAGTAAGCTGTCTGGAAGCAAAGTAGATAATTTAATAGTATACACAATCAGAAAACTTTTGGATATATTGTATGAGTATTATACAAATGCATATGGTATCTGTAATAATATATCAAATAGGTACATTTTTAGGTGCAAATTCTCTTTGTTAATTTACATATATAACAACACTTTCATTTTGTGAGACTTTAATTTTTAGGAGGGCTACAAATGATTTTACATATATATATGTCTTTATATGTCTTTATAAATGGTCAAGCATATGCTTAACTAAGAGGAATATATTCCTGCTGTATTAACACAATTGAACAATTTGTAGGTATCATATGAAATATTTGTTGCTGAGTTTTTACTAATTTAAAGCATTAGAGAATTTATGTAAAAAAGCAGGTAAAATAATTACAAAAATGAAGACAAACATTGTAATCATTCTGTATCAAATTACTTTTCTCAAAAATTATAGCAATAAAATGTGATAAATTTGAAGTATTAGCCTGCTTAACTGGAACTATAATAATTTATTTCAAAGTAATACAAGAAATGTAATTAACCATGCAAAGATATATTTATTGTCTAGAAATAATCAAGAAAAAATGTTTAAAAATTTGAATGATTTTAAAACAACTTAAAAATACTTTTACTAAACTTTAACTGTAATAAGAAAAATGAACCAAGTTATAAAAATATCATATATTAAAGAGAGTATGTCAAAATAATGATAATTAATACTACTACTTTAGAATTATTAATTCCAAAATGTTTCTTGAATGATTTTTATCAAATATAATAGGGGTTTATTTTTTAAATTGTGATTTGTGAGAGTAATTTGAAAAGAGAAAAGGCATATGCAAAATAACATCAAAAGAGCATGATTAATAGAAAGTTTTAGTCATCAAGATTAATATGTTTATATATAGGCACAAGCAGAAGCTTAAAAGTAGAATTAAGCATCTTTCAAAATAAAAAATTCATATCTCAAAGTAAGCATTTATGACAATAATTCAAAGTTCAATACGAGTTCATTATAGTTCAAACTAAAACACTTCTGAGGACACATTTTTATACCTTTACTCGTATGTGTAAGAAATTATAAATATGTACATATAAACCCTAATAAATGTATTTTAATCAAATATTATTGCATCATTGATTTACAGTTCATTGATGCATTTTCATTAAATATAAAAGGAGTAAGTCAAATTATATTAATATTACAAAAAAATAGAATCACATTTTGAAGAATCTTGATCATTTTTTAATATACTTATTAGTACCAGACTTCTCTGTTGCACTTCCTTTACAAGATGAGGAGTTTTTCTTTGAGTGCCCATCTTCTTCATATCCAAGATTTATTTCTCAATCCTCCTATCTTTGTACTTGCAAGCATACATTCAATATCCTGATACTCTTATTTTAATAAACGTGTCATAGAGAGTTGCAATAGAAATTAGACGTGGGCAAACAAACAGTAATGAAAACCATTTTGCCTGACTCTCTCTCTAGGCACTGACTATATTACATCTTTTGGGGGTCAAATTCATTTCATTCCATTTCCAGTGAAATGGTTTGTCACAATTTTGAAACAGATATATCCTGGGGATATGCAATATTCATTTTCAGCCCATGAAGAAGAGATACATGTTAAGATTTACAATTTACCTTCCTAGTAATAAAATATTTAGTTTATAATTTTACATATTTTTGAACTTGTAGGCTGTTTCAGTCATTGCACTATAATCGAATGTGAAATGATGAATGTATTTAAGGTATATATTGTTAGTTATCATATAGTCACTTTTTGTGGCAGGACTAGGAGCTTTATTGATAAAAACATCCCCTTTGTTCTGATGAAGTGCGCAATTTTTGTTGTCAGGGAAGTAATAAACCTTTCTTCTATGGAAAATATGCATGGGATGATTTGGTTTGATAAAGGCTTAGTTGCTATTTGTTTTGATATATGCTACTAATTAATATTCGGTCTGATAAGGTGCTAAGATATTACTGAAGAATGGACATAACAGCATCTCCTCAGAGGTGACTCCTAGGGAAATAGTCTGTAAGATTAAAAGGTGATTTTCTTTCCCTAGAAACAAGACATTATAAAAATATATTTTATTGCCAGAAGGAGATTGGGGATAAAAGAAGTGGGTGAAAGAAAAGAAAAGAGGCAGCCCTCTCTTCTCCCTTTTCAAGGCTCCCTGTCTCTCTGAGACAGAAGGTTGTGGAATTCAGTATCCCAGTTTAGACCTAAAAGAGGACCATTAATATTAACATCAGTTCCAAGTTGTGTCCTTCCCAAGGGGAAATGCCATCTATACTTAGATCAAACAAACAAACAAAAACAACAACAACAACATCAACAACAACAACAAAACAAAAACAAAAATAAAACACCCTGCAAGGCAAAAGAATAGAAAGGAAGAGGGAGTGGCATTTAGTTTTATTTCTGTCTTACCAATTTGTTCACACACCAAATGAGTGGAATTATTCCCTGTGTTGTTGTTCTAAGTGCTACTTAGAAAGCACTTAATTTGGAGGACTATTGGCTGGACTGAGATACTCTATAAATAATGAAAGGATCCTCAGAAATACTAATATGTTTCTTGCTTCCCCAGGAGGAGGGGAGACCAAGCTAAGTGAATTTCACAAAGGGTGCAGTGAAGAAGTTTATCAAATAATCATTTTGATTTGGCCTGCTTGTATGTCATAACCTAGAGCTCTGTTATTTAATATGTAACAGCTTTGATTAGACAAAAGCATGTTTTAGCCAGTGAGACCAAAGTGACAACAAACAGTTCTTATTAAAAATAATGAATATGAGATTAATGCATAGGCAGCCAGTTAGATAAGAATTATTAATCATGTCCTACCTATCAAGTTGGTAAAGGTAGTTGAACTGTCTTTTTAAAAATCATTTTTCATTTTAATATTTATTTCAGTATTCAGAGACTTTATTAAATGCCCAGCAAGCATGAAGTCATTATTGAGCAGACTATAATTAACAACAGAAAACACATACAAAAATAAACAGAATTCTTCATTTTATACATTTTGAATACATTTGTAAATCTGTATTCATAGTGATTCAGATACTGTGAAAAGATATCTCTTGAAAATGAAATAGAATAGTCATAGAGGGAGCAATACATGCAGTAGTAGCAGTGTGAGTAATTTATGTCTTAGAATAAAGATTTTAACTTTTATCATGCTGAGCCTGCCGAATAGATGACTATTTGGCATGGTATTTTTAGTATAGACACTGTTTCATTAGGAAGGAAGTTGGAACCAGCTAAGTCATGTAAGTATTTCAAATTAAACACTACTATAACATTTTTAAGTAAGAAAAAATGAATCCAATTGCAGTAATTTTACCATCTCAAACAGTGGACAGACCATTGAATTCTTGTTAGAGTTTTCAAAGACAAGAATTTGAGTTTTGACACAATGTAATTTGCATAAGAATGTAGCAATGACATTGATGTTTATAAAAGCATGGAATGATGTCAAAACACAATAAAGTTTTGCAATAGCGTCTCTTTCTTTAATAAAACAGATTTGATTTCCAATTATTATTTATAACATGCAGCCTCCTTCTGTGAAGATAGCACTCAAACCAATTAAGAGCATTTCTTTCAGCCTTATAGGCTGGAGCTTTTCAAACAACAAAATGAGTCCATTGAGGAAAAGTTATAAATAATTATAAACAAAAGTAATGTAGGAAGAGTGTTTAAAGGACTAAAACTGAGTCATTAAGCATTTCCTGTGTTGCAGTAATTCTGAAAAGCAATATGTAAGTCTAAAGATCAAATCTAAATTCCCTTCTTCAAAATATATTTTCATACATATGAATATCGATCGTTTTCCTAACCCCATACATTTGGATTATTTCCAACTCTCACTTTGCACTTCCCTAGAAGTTATCAATATGTATATAATGCCACAGCAGGGCTATTGAGGGCCTTCTTTGTTCTTGTTATTTAAAGTTTTCGAAGTTAATGTTATTTCTTTTCTTCATTTTTCTTTACAGTTAACAAAGTATTTTATTTATTTATTATTTTAGTGCATGTCAGCTACACAAAGAGTTGGTTTCATTTTGCCATATACATGCATGCATATAATACACTTTGATTATTTTCATTCTTTATTATTTTCCTTCTTTCTCTCTCCAGTTAATGTTATTTTTTATACCTCAATTTTTGTGCCAGTGATAATATCTTCTCTCCACATTATGATTTACACAGAAACTATGATTCTGGTATACTGTTATTTAAAATATTTTCAACTTTAAATACAGTAGTCACTTTTTAAAGATGTTATTTTCTCTATATGTGTTTAACTGTTTAATCATTCCTCTCAAGACTATGAAAGAAACTTTAACATATAGTTTAAAATACTTTGTGTTTTTAACTCTATAGTTGCTTACCTGTCCTGGTCTGGCGTTTTCACATACAAAGGTGTCGTAGAACACAGCAAATTGTGGGGCATTGTCATTAACATCCAGAATTCTCACAAAAACAGCCACGCGGGTTGTCTCTTTGGGATTGTCTAGAAAGGAGAAGAAAATTCTGTTTAGCAAGATGTATAGGCATTTTGCAGATATTAAGTGTTCAGATACAAAGAAGCTTGTATTTAATCTAACATAACGAGCAAGTGCAATAAAGAAAATTACTGCAGAGCCTAATTAAGTAGTCATGAACTAGACAATTATTGGGCACAAGAACATTATTATTATTTTGGAAAATCTTTTTTGGGGGTGGAGGTGGAGTGGTACCGGGGATCAAACTCCAATCCTTGTGCAGCAGATGGCAAAACCACTGAGCTAAATCCCCAGCCCTGGAAAATCTTTTTAAAAGTACAACCTAGTGATACTGATTTCACATTTTATTCCTGTCTTTAGTATCCCAACATATAAGATAGGAACAAATATCTCAAAGACCCTTATTATACATCACTTTATCATTCAATCTTTACTATTTCTAGATGAAAAAATAGTTTTAAATAATTAGTTATTTGTTCCAAGTCACTATTTTCTAAATAGTAGTTGCTACATTAATGCCTAGTCCTTTGACCACTTCATCACTAAAATGTATTTTAACTACTATATTTAAATCTCCATTCAAAAATTGTAATAGATGGCTAGTAATTTTATAATTTTGGGGAAAATTTTGTAAGAAAATATGAAGACTTAGTCATTTTCTTACCATAGTCATTACTGATACTATTTTAAAAATTCCAACATTATTTTGCCTAACAATTGTTTCCAAACTACTTCAGTACAATGATAGAATATTATTTTTGTTACAAATGCTAAAATCAAGGATTTGAAATTCTGAAATAAAATGGTGCATTTTAAAATGTTTTATCTCCAAATGAAATTCAAAAATATAAATATCTCCTTAGGTTAGATTTGGGTAGCAAACTTAAATTCCTCCTAATTGCATTATTTTATTATAGGTTTTCTAGGATGAACTACTAATATCTAAGAGTGTTTTGGTACCCAAAGTTCAGTCATTCTCATTCATCCTTCCTAATGTCAATATTTCCATTTTTAAATTTAAATTTATGTGTGAACTCTGGAAATTCAAGCCTAGAAAAAAGGGAAATCTGCATTCTCATGTTCATTGCAGCCCTATTACACCAGCTGGGAAATAACCTAGGTGACCAACAAACAACTGATGAGTGGGAATAGAAAAGTTGTAGCTATGTAAACAATGGTATGTATTCATTCATGAAAAAGCACGCAATTCTTTCATTTGCCAAAACATGAATGGAAATGGAGATCATTTTGATATGTGAAATAAACCAGAAAAACAAGTACCACATAATATCATGCTTATGTAGAAATTTTAAAAGCTTATTTCCTAGAAGTCGAGAGTAGAATCACGGTTGCCAGAGCGCTGGTGAGGGAAAGTACAGAGTGAGGAGGATGGGAAAAAGCTAATCCATGGTTACTGAGTTTTGGTGAGTCAGAAGGACAAATTTCTGATATGCTATTGCACAGTATCCTTTACAGACAATGGTTTGGCACTGTATATTTTAGGAAGCTAGAAGAAAGAATTTTGAAAGTTTTCACCATAAAAATGTTAACAGTTTGAGAGGATGCATATGTTTAACTCGATTTAAAATTATACAATATACACATGTATGGAAAAACTAAATGTATCTATTCATTTAAAACATTTTTAATAATCGGGGAAAGGAGACAATTAGCTAAAAACAAAATAAATCAGTAGCAGCTTTAGGAATCTGATTAAATGATATCAGCTGGCATATGCTATGGATACTTTTTACCTTTTTTTTTGGGGGGGGGGACTGGGGATTGAACTCGGGTCCTCATGCAGCAGGCTGCAAAACCACTGAGCTAAATCCCCGGCCCCACTTTTTACCCTTTTGAAATTTATGTGACTACTTAATCTTATCTAAATAAATTTCAAGTAAAATTTTTTAAAAGTTACCATATACAGATAGTGAGTATCCTATGGCTTAAAATAAACTATCCCCTTCATGTAATTGGATTGTTATTAAAATAATGAAATCAGCATTTTTTTGAAAAGGATGTACAAGAACTGGTATGCTAACAGGCAGCTAAAACTTTCAGCAAGGCTGAAGTATTACAAAGAAAGGCAACAGGGCTATAAATCCACTTAAAGTACACTCATATTTCCTTCATCATTTCAAAAGAGAAATTTAAAATGCATGCCCTTCTTCACCCTCCTCTTAAGCCTTACTTCTGTGTTAATGCATGTGTATTAAGTTCATAGGTTCTAAACTGTATTTGGTAATGTTCTGCAGTATCTGGCCAGCTCTTAGCCGGCCAAGTGGCTGACTAGGTCCTGAAGTCCAACTGAGCTTCTTTGATTTCCAAGTGGAACATTGTGACTTTGTCAAATTTACACCATGTACATCTTTCCAGTGCCTCAGTTTATTCAACATGCATAAAAATCAATCTGATCTCACAGAATTATTGGGAAAATTTGGTGAGTTAAGGCAGGCAAAGTTCTTATCACAGTATCAGTTTGGTGGTTATTACTCAGTGTATTTTGGATGTTATCATTGTCATTTTGCTATTTGTATTCTTCAGCATATTCTATCCAGGAGCACACGCTAACTTTCTTCATGTAAAGTATCCACATAATAAAATCTTGATAACCAGCATCCCCAAAATTGACATGGGTCTAAAGAAGGGTATGTGGAGAAAAAATAGGAGGAAAAGAGAAATTAGAAAGGCTATCCCATTACTGTTTTCTCTTTCTAATTGCTGGACTATTTGCTATGTCCAGAAACATAATATTCACATGTAAATGCACCCTCCATTACCTGGTTACTTATTGTTATGGAGAAGAGTGGGAGAATATTCTTCTTCAATAATTTCTAGAAGAATTTTTAACCCCTTCATATGTTTATTTTAGTGAACACAAGCAAATTATTTTCAATATAAAGTCTTGACATAAAAATAAATCTTGGGGGCTGGGGATTTAGCTCAGTGGTTCTGACACCTGCCTCACAAGCGCAAGGTCCCGAGTTCGATCCCCGGTACTCCCCCAAAATAAATAAATAAATCTTGTTGGCAGAAACTGACTTTCTTTCCATATCACCAAAGACAAGAGAGAAAAGGTTCATATCTAACAAACTGCATTGTTAGAACCTTCCCTAACACAAAGTGAAGATTCTCTAGCTTCTTTCCAGTAATTTAATTCTCTTCAAATCAAGCCAAATCCACAAGGATGAATGTGGTTTGTAAAAGCATCAGGCTTGGAGTCACCTATTGAAAAAACAGTGCTCACACTAATCTTTTTATGCTGGCAGATGCTGCAGCTTATGTATAAATAAAAGTATAAAGCATTCAAAAGAAGAATCATGTTGAATAGCAGCTGGCATATATTTACCACCTGAGTCCACCTCAAAGTCCTTCAAGGAAATTGTACTGTGACAAAGAGTGTACCTGCAATAAAGGATCTTAAAATGTATGCCCTAAAGGAAGGCCATTCCCGTATGTCACAGACTGTTCTATGCCTCCCAAGAGCAGAAAACTTCAATCATTCTCTAGAAACCCAAGGCTTTCAAATAAGGACAATTTTCTCATGTGTAAGGCATGAATTTTCACTTGCAAAGAACTCGGCATAGATAATGGAATCCTTCAGCCATAGATTTCACTCTACGGTCCTCAGAATGTACTGTAATAGTTAGAGATCAATTCTCAGATATTGTTAAAGGAAGGTGTTAACTCTTCCAAAAAATGTGTTTGTAAATCACAAGTTTATTATTAAATCACAATTGTGGCCTTAATTTTAGAGCTAGCATTCTCCACATCACATTTAAAAATATTTCTTAGAAAAAGAAAATTTTTCCCTGGTATAATGCATTAAATAATTACTTGCACCAGATAGTACTTGCCACATACTGTGATATATTACTGTGGAATGTAGAATTAAACTGTTAGAGGTAAGGCCTGGAAACACACTGGTAAGAAGAATATTTATACACCATTATGTCCTGCTCAGGGTTTGGTGTGTGACAAACTTACCATAAAACTAGTGTTTAAAGTCTAGTAAAAACAATCCCTTATATGCTGCTTCTACTCTACCCTCTTTGCTTTTATTCCCCAGAATAACATGATGGGACCCTCCCTGACTGCTTGGCAGGTAGGCATTTCTGGCAATTGCTTCATGGATTGATTTCAATTTAAGGGCAAAAAATAGATTTAGTTCCTCAAAAGATGTAATTGACTTAGCTTCTCACAGACTCATAATTACTTCAACTAGCTTTATAAGTTAAATTCCTCAAAGTATCTGAAATGGAAAATGCACTCGAAGCTCATTCAGCTTGAAGAAGAATCTTGAATTGAGCACAAAGAACAAACAATTTTGATTGTGAAGTGTGGCCAGATTTTGTGGTGTCTTACACACCTAAATATGGGGTTGTGGATTCAGATTCAGAAAGAACAGCTTTCCTTAAAGAAAAAATATTTTTTAAAAACCTCATTACTTAGCTTTAAAAAGCACAACCATTTATATCTAAGATAAAACTGGATCTTTGGAGGTTAATCAGTATTTCACAGCCACATTGGTTAAAGAAAGATCTATTTCACAATATCAGTTATACATTTTGATCCTTATTTACACTTTTAGTTTTTCACACCAGAGGAACTATTTGGTATTTACACATGTGTGTCCTATTTATTTCACTTAAGAGTATGGCCTCAATGTGCAAAGATCTAAAGGAGTAGGGGAAGTGGGAAGGGTAGGGGAAATAAAAGAAGGGAAAAGAAAAAATATGAGAAAAGGAAAAAATGGAAACAAAGTCTTTGTAACAGGGAGGGGTGGAGAGGGTGAAGGGGGGACAGGGGAATGGGGAAAAAATAAGAACCAAGATACATCATGTAAAGGTACAAGATCCTAATGATGAATGTAATTGTATTGCATACCTAAAATGTACCAATAGACTTGATGAAAGAAAAATAAAGCTAGATCTATTATTTTAGCTTGAAGTTTTGAATAAATTGCTTATGATCTGCCCAGACTCCTTTTATCCCCTGAGACTGGTGTGATTCAGCACTGATGTTTCGCCTGCCAAAATCTGGAATAATTACTTCAAATAAATTGGCCTTCATACCTGTTTGTAGATTTTAGCTTAGTATTTCAAATCTGGAATATATGGGCTTAATTTTCCACCACGACTCATTACCAAATGGAGCCTTCGTTTTAAAATATTTCAAGTTGATCTATTTCATGTATGCCCCAGCGTGGGATTAGAAACTTTGAACAGATTTGCGTGCACATGGACCTGTGATTTGACCTGTTACCCAGGCCTCAGGCATTAAAAGAACCACTTTTGATTTAACGCTTTGCTGTTGTCATCTCAAATTTCTTAATGATTTTTATTTTTAACAAACCATTAGATATTTTAACTTTATAGTGGGCCCCACAAATGACACAGGTCATCCTGTGTGGGCAAGACCTTTTACAGTTAAAGGAAGATGTGGTTTGGAACCCTAGCTTTGCCAACCTTTCATTGGATAAATTTTATAAATCACATGTACATTTAAGTACTGAATTTAAAAATGGAATAACTGGTTTCAAATCCCAATTTACTATTTCTGGCAAATAGTTTAATAAATTGTTTCATAATAATAAATAAATAAATAAATAAATAAATAAATAAATAAATAATTGTTTAATAAATTGGTCATATCCCTAGGCCTTTGGTCCACTTCACTTAAATGAGGCTAATAAAAAATGTTGACAACAGGAAACTTAATTTTAAATTATTAGAATGATTCCTGGTATACAATACTTATTGTTAACTGCTATTACTGATATACACCTGGATTTTCTCATCTACGAAGAACAAATACTAAATCTTTATATGGTTGTTAACATTTAGCGATATAACTTATATTCAACAATTATCATATATTCTTAGCCATAGTGTCCATGCAACGCATTTAATACATTTAATGTGTCTTCAAATATGAATATTTTAGTTACAAATTCTAGCTAACTTTTGTTACATAGCATTAAATGTAGATTTACAAATATTGAAGGGTGGCAGAATATAACACACCAAAATATTCCATTTTGACACAAGGATTATTTTTAGCTGAAGACATTTATAACATACCAGGTGGAAGAAGGGGACCCTGATTTTCCCTTTTTTCTTCCTGAACACAGAAGATAAAATCTTTATATGAAAAATATCCTCTCCTACTATGAGAAGTGTAATATTTTTAATACCTAGGCAAACAATTAGAAATTAAATTCTGTACAAACATATGTCTTTAGATACTTTTCCACCACTGCCTCTCTTTGTTTATACTAGTATAAAGTATTTAGATTCGCCAAATTTGGGGGTTTTCATTTTTTAGAGGCTTCCCCTTTTACAAAAAACTTGAATAAATTTGACTATCTTTCTCCTGTTAATCTGTGTTAATGTCAATTTAATTTTCAAGCCCCCCCAAACCCATGACAGTAGATGTAACCTTTTGTTTCTCATATCATACCTATGGTTAGCCCTTAGTACATTAAATAGCAAAAAAAAAAAAAAAAGATAAAAGAAAGATACAGACTTTTGAGAAGGCTCTTAAAATTTTAAATTAAAATAGTTTGTATAAACATTGAAAACTATTTTTACAGGAAATAAAGCCTACAAGTGTCAAAAAATGAAATTAAAAATAAAATGAAAACATAAACATATATAAATATATGTTCTATACATAAAATACATCTTACTGATTTCAGCAGCTATAACTGTAAGGTTGTGCCATTGAGACAGTTCTCGGTCAAGTGGTTTTGATGTGTAAAGTGATCCATTTCCAGAGTGTATGTTAAATATTCTGTCAAGGTCAGTATGGCGATCCAATGAAAATCTGAACATACAGGGCAAAAAACAAACAAACATGGCAATATTATTGATGATTTACAAGAGTAAATGTTAAAATTCAAAGACATATATGTAATTACACAAAATAATGCTAGTTTAGAAAGCAATCAGTTTCATAAGTTTTTGTGGTCATCCATTCACACTCTACAAAGTTGGCAATCTGTTCTTCATTCAAATGCTAGTCTTCCCAACTCATATATATATATATATATATATATATATATATATATATATATGTCTAAAGTCATATATGGTCAACTAACAAATATTTTTGGCCATAATATAGCACGTATTACATATGGTTACATTATCAACTGACTTTATTTGATAATTAGGGCATCTGATGAATTACTACTAATATTTACTGCACAAGATCAATCTCAGAAACTTAATCTTTATTTTAATGATAAAAGTGGAGACAAAATTTAATTTTATAAAACTATAAAGCATTATCTTAGGTAATTCATAGCTCATGGTATATTCATGTAGTTTCAGCATTTTAATGATATATAACATTACAAAATGTGTATATTTTAAGGAAAAACCTATTAAAGTAGTTCATTTCCGGGAATGGCATATATTTGTATCAAATAAACTGTGTATATACTTTAATATCTATGCTGTAAATTAACTACAGACATTTTATTATATATCATTCTGAAGCATAACACCAGGTTTATCAATATGGTTGATAAAGTTGAGATATCTTTGTCAAAATATGCAATTTACCATTCACAAATAAATCAAAGTATATACCTACATCAGAAATAAGTCATAAATTTCATCTCAAGTTGACAAAATTAGTTTATTTCTCAAAGGTTAAAGATTATTTTTTTCTGGGCCAGGGATTTAGTTAGCTCAGGGGTTCCACCGCCTGCCTCACAAGAGCAAGGACCTGAGTTCGATCGCCAGTACTGCCAAAAAAATCACATTATTTTTTCTTCCTCTTTCTCCTCATGTCTCTATTCAAACTAAAGCACAATGTACCACCCATCTCTATTTATCATACTTTATTTGGAACTTATTTCATCACAAACCTAAATCGGGAATTAAAACATGAAAATACCAAGCCTACCAGTGGAATATATCTACTACCATATTCTAGTAGATCAGTAAATATTATTTGATTTTCATAGTGAATATTCCTCCCCAAAAGAAAAAGAAATTCATGAAACACATGTCAATATATAATATACTGATCTACAAATATTCCATAAATGAAATAAAAAACAATTTATTCTATAGTATTTTAACCAATAAGTTCCCCTGTATCTATACAAATTGAGACATGAAGATGTTGAATATACTGAGGTGAAAAGTGTCTACTATATTAAGTGAAACAGCAGGTTACAAAAGCATATATGTGGCACTGCCAATATTTATTTTAAATAAGTCATTAATGTGTAGAGATATGAAATTATCTAGGTTAGTATCCACTTAACTGTTTCAATACATCTATGGGGTAAAGCATATTTATTATTTTGTTTATGAGTAGTTTTTGGCATGCTGTTTCTAAGTGGTGAAAAGTAAGAACTGCTAGAAGTATGTGAGGTGATGGATATGTGAACTAGCTTGATTTTAGTACTCATTTCACATGTTGTATTTTAAATATATATGATTTTACTTGGCAATTATACTCAATTTAATTTAAAAAAGAAATATGACATAAAGTTTGAAATACGTAAATCAATACATAGTCTATGATATCACACATCAGTTTCCAAAACCTGTTTTATGTGTGTTTTTTCTTATTTGTTGTAAATCAGTATAAAGAAGGTAAAACTTAAAGGGTTATGAGACACTACCTCTGAGATAATAGCCCTTTTCTTCAAACATTGCTAATAGTTTGTTTACATTTCTAATTATCTTTTGGCAAATTATGTGTTCCAACACAATTTCATTTAAAAATAATTTCCATGAACCATAATTTAAGTGATATCTTTGATTACTGCCCTAACACTTGCAATGTATAACACAATTTATGAAATATCCAACATGAGTCATTGAAAAAATCCATTGCACTACTAAAGCTATTTTATTTCTTTGAATATGTGTAATTGTCCTGTGGTATGCACAGGGAATTTGTTCCAGGACCTTAGCAGATACCAAATATACAGATATTTAAGTTTCTTATGTAAATTAGTCATAATGTTTGCATAAAATATTTGTATATTATCAGGTATACTTTAAATCATCACTAGATTGATTACAGTACCTAACATGATCTAAATGCTATGTAAATCACAAATATACTATGCTGTTTAGGGACTAGTGACAAGAAAAAAATCTATTCATGCTTAGTACAAGCACAATATTTTTCTAAAAATTTATTATTGCTATTGGTTGATTTTGTGAATGCAGAAACTGCCAATATAGAGGGCAGAATGTGTATATGTGATATTTCTATTTAATTTTTTGGTTACATAATGCATATATATTATATATGTTCATATTCTTTTTTTTTTAATTTTTCGCTATGGGGGGATCAAACTCAGGACCTTGCGCTTGCGAGGCAGGCGCCGGTACCACTGAGCTAAATCCCTTACCTATATGTTCTTATTCTATCAAAACAATATTATCTAAGAATAACCATTTGCATTTTCCACATCAAGGTTGTATAAAGTAAAATATATCCCAAACTTCAGAGCATACACTCTCATTCATAAGCAATACAGCTGTTAAATCTGTTGCATATGTTATATGTAAAACATTCTTTCTAGTCCTTAAAATTATATCCTTATTAAACACTTTATATTATTTTTAAATATCTGTAGATGAATTTTCACATATAATATCAATTTATATAAAGGTGTAAAATGTATTTCAATTTAAAAAGAAATATCTTAATTTGGTGACTTAATACAATGACAAAAAATTAATTTCTTTAAAATATTACATATCATTTGTAATATTCATTTAGAAATGAGTCCAGAACACAACTTGCTGAAGCAAGTTAGAATCTCTGCCAAGAAAATTCACTGTAAGCATTTAATGAGAAATTTTAAACATGTATATTGGTAATTTAGAACCCTCAAAAGCAAAGATGCAAAGGATGCAATAGTTTAGAAGAAGATAAATGGATAAGGGAGGAGACATTTATGGGTAAGTCCTGTTGGCAAATGCAAGCATTATGTGATTATCATGTATGCTTTTCTTCTGCCAATATGTAAACTGTGATGCTGTTTATAAATACGAAATATGTACTTATGTAAAATATATGAATTATGCAGATAGGTAGATAATTTTACTGTACGACTTTCCTTGACGATTGGGATAATCTACAGAATTTTTATGTTCACTCTAGATGGAGGTCCATGGCACATAACATTGAAGGTTCTATACATTATGTATCTGCATGAACCTATGAATACACTCAGAAATTTGTACTGATACTACAGAGGCTAACATAGAAACAAAATCACACTGCTGAGACTAAAGAAACAGATTCTATCTAAAAGACACGATGGACTAACAGATTAAACATTCATTTTCATGCTGAATATTGAATACAGATGTATTAGTGCAAATGATAATGAAAACTTTAAGTCTTTCTCATTTTTAAATATGTCTATCAAATCTCATACACTTTTAGGTTGCTATAAGAAAGAAAAGCAAAATCTGTTGAAATGACTTTGCTCTATCTAGAAACGTGGGAATTTTTAAATAGCTAAATAACAAAGAAAAAACAAGGGGAAAATACCTTCTTGTCTTTCATAATTGGAGTGTAAGTGGAGTTTCTAAAATCATAATATAACTGCATTGGAGTATGCCAGTTACATATTTTAAATGTTAGAGACTTTCTTGACTTCACATATTAAATAACACATATTTAACAACTTGAAGAACAGAAATATAATGATTTGTTTACACTGTAAATGCACAACCAAAGAAATGTCCTTACTATGTCCCCGGGGTGAGAACAACAAATATTTTATGGACAGAAACAGATGATACAAAATAGGTGTCAGTCTAAAGGATATGAGAACAAACAAATTATAAACTTTGTTCAAACCCTGCCCCCAAAGAGAGACAATTTGTCTTAAACATTGTGCTTACCACTGAGAGACTCCTGTATGTTTTGGTGCATTAAATGTTTTAAATACAATTTCACTATCTCTGTATGTATTTCAGTTCCCTTCCTTTTCATATCAAAGCTGGCATAATTACCTAATAGGGCTGGAGGTAGAATCTGGGTCCCTTGCCATTACAGTGCCGATGATTGTGCCCACTTCGATATCTTCATGTACCTCAAACACATAGGAGGATCTGCTAAAAACAGGGGGCTCATCTACATCTTCTATAGAGATTTTCACAATGGTGCTATCTTTGAATGGTCCTAGGTAATAAAAACGTGGATCCACGTGGGTGTTTTCTGCTTCAACCTTTAGAGTATAAAGTCTTCGACTCTCATAGTCAAGTGGCTGTGTAAAGAAATACATCAGCTAATTAGAGTGAAAGAAATTGGATATTATGTTCATTCAAAGTTACAATGATTTTTAATATTCTGATAAAGTTCTCCCAAGTTGTTCATTAATTATAAAATAAGAAAAAGTTATACAAATAATAATCTAATTTTTACATAATATCTGGGATTCAATTTTTTTAATTACATTTTTAGGTATATAACATGTAATACTTTAGAACATAGCGGAGTGAGATTTTAATTTTTGGAAAAATTCAGATGATATTAAAGATTGTCTTATAATTGATGATAGATGGTAGATTGTATAGTGTTGTTTTGTGTGCTGATATGTTGGCTATCATTAAATTTTTCTAAGTAAAACTTCAGCCATTATTTAAATTTTCAGTTATTTTAAAATTATGCCATATATAATGGGCTTATGGTATTATGTAAGCTTTATGAAATTTGAAAACTAACATCAAAATTTCAATAATTATATAAAGCATTGAAGAAAAATAAAGATTTATAAAAAGAGAAAAGACAATTCATACAGATTTGGTAATTAGGGTGTATAATACAAGAAAAAGAGGACTTTAAATATTGATATAGCTTAACTGTCACAAGATTAAATTCAAGTCCCTCATTTTATACTCACTGTCAAAGATACTTTTTATTATCAGAGAAAGACATTGTTGATTGAAATTTCATCAAGCTCTCTGAGAAGCTCTGGATTTCATTTGCATTACTGTTGCTTCCTGGTCACAAAAAGCAAGAGCTGCTTCATTCAGCCTTTGCTGGTCAGTTTCAGGTTAGTATCTGTCTTTACCTTGTGACTTGCAAAAGAATTTGGGGATAGTTTTATTATTGTCCAGTACCTGGGTGGTTTGTGTGTGCATGGCATTTCATTAGGACTTAAATTTCAACATGCTTTATTTTTTTCTTTCAATGATGGCACTGACTCTACAATTAAAAAACTAGTTACCTTTAAATTGTACCGCTGAACGTATGTTAGCAGAAAAGTTTAATTTATATAGCAAAAGGAAAAATGTGAACAACTAAATTACGTTCCAATTCATTCTGTCTCTCTTTATTAGAAACTCTAATTATTGCTTCATACATCTGGGCAGCATGCTACATTTTATGCCTCCAACTGTGATGATATATTGCCATTATTAGCTATTAACTATTTTAAAGAACACAATGTTATTATAGTGGGCTTTTATTAACATGGCTCAGAAATATAATTATACATATATTAACTTTGAAATTTTGTAAAAATCTCAGTTTTCACCTTTCAATCAACAGAAACATGTAGTCAGGATGTCTAAGGAACTCTTTGGCTTCATATCCTTCTTACTTCTGTATAATATAAATTACATTTAAACATCATGGTGATATTACTTTTAATAGATAATACATCACTGCGTAGTACATAATGAAATCTCTATTCTCTAAGCACATAGATACTTCTTTATGCAGAAGCTGTGCACCTTTTTTACAGTTATGATGCCTTCCTGCGTGTCCTTCTCAGTTACAATGTCAAACATATCAGTCCCGTCACCATCAATAATTCGGTATTCTACTTCAGCATTTTTCCCAGTGTCTGCATCTGTTGCTTTTACACTTCCAACAGCTGTGCCAACAGGGGAGGATTCTAGAACCCGAAGATGGATAGTGTCTATAAGAAATGAAGGAAAGAATAGAGAGAGATGAATAGAGATTTACCAATAGAATATCCAAAAATAAACTGTGTTTGAGAAAATATTATGAATTTTAAACTCTAAATTACATGTTTATTAAAAATTACATGTTTATTTAAAATGTGAAATATACCTATTGTGGTTATAATTAAAGACTAAGAGCAGAAAAGGAGGAATTTTGTCTGTGCATATTGATGTGAATATTAAGTGCCAACCGCTAACAATATTGGAAATTTTGCTTCTAAAAATGAGCTTGTTTTCCATTATCACTTTCACAGATCTCATCAGAATTCAGTCTTCACATAGGTGTGTTTATACAACATACATATATAATCACAACCAATCACAGGATATACGGGGATTTTAATTGTTTCTACTATTTTATATTTAGTTATTTAAATTTCAAATTTATTTTAGCTGCAAAGAAATACATAACAAAATCTCAAGAAGTCAGCCAAAATATGTAGGAACCATATTTCTTTTTTATGACAAAAAGAAACAAAAGATGGCCTTTGGGAAAAATATGAAGATACCCTTCATAATGTCACAATGAAAACACTAAATTCTGAAAAACTCTTCATTCCGTGTACAAAAAGAATTTATCTGAGCCCTTGTACCAAAATGTGCTTCCAGCATGAGTAGCATTTACTGCTAATGAGATTTATGTTTTAGCATGTGGTCATAAAATATATACTTCTGACAGATTAATTGACTGGAAGCACACTTCGTATTATACCAACTTTTTGCTCATAAACCTTAAGTAATTCTCCTTAATATACACGATAATGTCCAGAACTCTTAGGTAGTCACATATTATCTAGGTATATCTTTCCAAACATATTCTACCTTTAGTCCCATCCATGATATATTTGTATCAAACTGGACTTTTCCATGTTTCTGATTAAAAAATTAATTTCTTTCATCATTGCATGCATTTTCCTCACGATATTTTTGTTCATAAAATGTTTTTGTCCTTACCTTCATATAATTATAATGCAGTTAACCAAATATGAGAAAATTATATGGTTATGTGCTAAGTGTCTCAGTGGGTATGCCATACCAAGAAGAAACACTTTGGTAGGAATAAACTTGCTGACAACATGGTCTCCAAATTCTAACCTGGATAACTGTGATAAAATAAATTTCTGTTGTTTAGATCACCTGGTTTATGGGGTTTTGTGGCAGCACTAAAAGCACTAATAATATAGGCAGGTGCATCTACTCAGTTTTAGAGCTAATTTTCTTGAATATGTCAATAAAACTCAATTTCTGTCGCACTCTACTGGATGTCAACCTGTATTAGTCTACATTTTTCTCTGGCTATCTCTTGGATCACACTATTGAGAAAACAAAAACAAAACCAAAAACAACCTTCCAACGTATACCCTGGCTTCTCTGTCTCGCTGAACCTTTCTCCTTACACTAGCGTTTCGCACCTTCTTCTCAGACATGTCAGCCCTGTACATCCCAATGGCCCCTTTACATTACGGTTGTTTCTCTGCTCATTTCCTTCAGGTGTCTGCTCAACCGTGTCCTACTCAGAAACTTTCACTTATATCCTATGTGAAAATCTAATCAAAATGGCAGTCTCAGTCACTCTTCCCACCACTTGCCATTGCCAAGCATTATGTTATCTATTTACTTATTTGTGTGAACTAGGACAACATAAAACAGGCTTTTTGTACTTTTTCACCATTATATTTCCTGCAGGGATTGGGCTGGGGACTTAGCTCGGTGGTTCACACAAGGACCCAAGTTCGATCCCCGGTACCAAAGATAAAAAATAAAAATAAAAATAAAATTAAAAATAAATATTTCCTGCAGGGTATAAATGTGTATTGTAGCCACATATACTGTAGTATTTGGGTTTTGGATAAATTATTTGGATATTTAATATTGAATACAAGCTTCCTCACTAGTCTACTAACTACATTAGTTGGGCAAATCTAATTAATACCAAGGTTCATTCCACATTTCATCCATATTGCTCCATTTGAAAATACTTATCTTATCAATAATTATTCAGAGCTTTAACTTCTAACTTCTCCTAGTCTATTTAAGGTAAAATAAAACATTCATTAACTGGCCTTCAGTAATTTAGCTGTCTGTTTACTGTTATCATCAATATTTTCTGGGATCATTTGCCTCCTTGAAGTTTTCCCAGCATCATTTACTTCCACTTAAAAGATTTCCTCTCCTTTTGAAAGATTTCCCCATAAAATTCTGTATAGCAACATTTTCTTTTTCATTTTACCATAAACTTATATCATAATTCTTCTACTATAGAACATCATCCACTCTAGGAAAGACCTTTTTTAAAAAAAATTAAATCTCCTAGAATCATTAACTCAAAAACTGGATTTATTATACTCTAGCAAATGTTACCTTTATAAAATAGAAAAAAAAATGGTATCACTACTGAAAGACTTCATTCTTAATGTTATATGTTTAAATTCTTCATTTGATTTGGAAGACTTAGGAATCTGATCTGTTAAAATTTTCAGAATCATTATCTATTTTCAAATTCTGAACATATAGGAAATGTAGACATGCAAATGTTTTTGTTCTTTAAATATCAGTTAAGAGGAACAAAAATTATAAATGTATAAAATATTTACCATAACAAATGCAAACAACATGAGTAATTGATTGGTATGTCTTTATAACTTCTAGGAACCACATAGAGAATACAGATAATTCCCCAAAAGCCTCTTGTCTTGAGAATATGATTCTCAGTGCAATAATGCTCAGAGCTGAGGCCTAGAGAGTTGATTGAATAATTAAGACATTAACCCCATCAATGGATTAATCACAGCTGAATGGTCTACCAGAAAATGGGGCCCAAATGATGTAGAAAGTCGGTCATTGGGAGTATGGCATTGAAGGGTATATCCCATACCCAGCCTTACCCTATTCTCTCTCTCTCTCTCTCTCTCTCTCTCTCTCTCTCTCTC